AGGTGGTGGTCAGGTTGTGCTACTTCGCCTCACCCTATCAGCATGATAACCTTGGCCGGAATTGCACAGAATATTTCTTGATAGCTTCAGTTGAACCTACAGCCTCCAGGGTACGTGGGCATTATCTGTTTTTTGAGATGTGTGTATGCTTATGAAAAATGCGACCACAAGAAGGGAAGTTAACAATCCATTTTTTAGATGTTATTAATTCAGCTTATATAGCGCGAAACCCTAAAATTGAAGTACTAAACCAACCATTTAAGGCTTTATTTTGTAAGTGGACAGCTTAAATGATTTTAAAAGTATAAAAAATACAAGAGACTGATTTCATGATTATTTCATTACTTCTGTGAATTGCTTAAGTACAAAACTGTCTCCTATCAAGGTAATTCGGGTTCTGATATTATGGACGAGGATGATGAGTTCTAGTAGTTCTTCAAACTGAGGTGATAGTAACCAACATGGAATAGATGGACAAGGGGTCAAACAATATATAGGAAGAACCACCAACCTTGCTTTCATCTTCTTGTGCCTTCTCATTAGTGTCCTGAGAATCTGCTTCCTGAGAGGCATCAGGTGCTTTGTTTTCCTCAGCTGCTTGTTTTTCAGCTTCTTCTTTAATTCTCTTTTCTTCCTTCTCTTTTATTAGGCGCTCCTCTTCCTCTGCCTTTTCTATTAATCTCTTTTGCTCTGCACAGCATGAACAGTATTGGACACATAAAAACTATCCATCTAAAATTAACATCTTCAACAACATTTACTCGATATACCCCTCTTTGCAAAACGACGAGTTGGCTATGAGGGCTCACCTTTGAGCTTGTCGACAAGCCCCTGGAGTATCTTCTCTTCACCCTTCAGTTTTGTTAACTCTGCTTCATCTTTCGCAATTGCCAATTCGGCCTTTTCAACTTCCTGATTCCGAATAACGACACCACTTTTATATGTAGCTACTTTCTTCTTTAACTTCTCCCTCGCCGCCTTGCCAGCTTCCCAGCATGTATTCTTGCAAGTGCCATTGCTACCGTATTCGTCACTCCCGTCACAGCAATCTAGCAAACAATGAGGAACAAGTAGAGCAAGTTATAAAAGGATCAATGGAATAGGAGCTCCAGCCAGTTTCTTGGTCTCTAGTCTTTGTTGTACATGTATCTTTAGTCTTAACAAAAACAAATAAAGCAATGGAACAAAGAAAACGCAACTGCTATTAGCCTCTTACCGCATATACCATCATTCACTCGCGACGAGAAGATGGTGATTGGAGAATGTCCGGTATTCTTGCAGTAGAATTTCGCCTCCGGGCACGCGGATGTCCCTGCGCAGGAAAAAGGAAGCACGATTCAGTGAACTGCTCTCCTGGTTCCAACATTGGCACAAATATATGAGCCTAACAGAGAGAATATCCCAACTTTCACACATCTCCGGCACGAATGGATCCCCAAGACTCCCACAGTTCAAAACCAACGCGCACAGGCCATGAAACTAAGGGGGGCTGGCTCTACAGAAATCTCGGAGAAATCACACCACACGCGGAAGAAAAAGAGCGTGTTTTTAAGCAAAGAAGAAGAAAGAGGCGGTACCTGGCTCGTCGGTGCCGTCGGGACAGTCGCAGAAGTCGTCGTTGAGCTGATCCCTGGTGAACTTGCCCGATCCGTCCCTGCACTTGATCACGCCGCCCCTGTAGTACGCCTCATCTGCGCCCAGCAACGCTAAATTAAGAACCGCATCTACCTGGCGTCGGCAGCGAAGGCGCAAAAGAAAGCAAAGCGCGGTCAGATCCGGGGGGAACCTTGCGGAGGGATGCCGAGGGTCTCGAGCGGCGGACGGGATGCAGTGGCGGCGGCAGAGATCCATAGTAGGAGGAGGAGCGCGAGGACCCTCATGGCTGGCCGGAGCAGCAGTGGACGGGTCGGCGAACAGCGTGGGTTCGCTTCAGGTTTGGGTGTCACCAGGCAAAGAACCTCCGCCCCACAGGGAAAAACGTAACGAGCCTCGATTCTTCACTATTTTTTTCACTTGTCTCTCCAACAAATACCCACAAATTTCCTCCCATGATAGACAGGGACCCGTAGGATGTGTTTGGTTCGGAGAATAGGTTAAATGGCTATAGATATCCTCAACCACCTCTGGCTAGGGATATCTTTTTTCTGTTTGGTTGGGTAGAATGTTAAGTGGCTGGAGATAGCCATTTGTCCGTTTGGTTTGAAGGATGAATACTGACTAGGAGTTGTTCTACTAAGAAGGTGAAATCATCTCATAGTTATATTTTTTTTCAACATAAATCAGCCAAATATGATAACCCCGCAAAAAGATCAGTCAAATATGATATAAATAGTAACAAAAATGAAATTTTAAGTAAAGTGCTCCTCAGTTAGTACATATGCTTCAGAGCAAAATAGACAAATACAAAATACTTTCTTTTATAGAAGATAAATACTTGAAAAAATACATCTATACACAAAACGATAACAAAGAGAAAGAGGGGGTTGCTACACATCAAAGCTACAAACTAAGAAAGAGCACACACGCGCACATGCAAAGAGAGGACATATGCATGCAGGCGCATAGCACCCAACAGTCATCCGAGAAAGCTCTCAGGCATTTACGTAAACAGTTGTTGAGCATGATAAGGAAAGTGTCGTCGACATCTCTTCCCGTTCCAAGCTTCAACTTGCAGCTCACACAACAGAAGATAAGCCGTAGGCACGATTGCGCGAACACAGGAAGAACGGCAAGCCAGCTAACGAGCCACACGAAGAAGCAAGCACTCCAGTAGCCTGCTAGCAAGCCACACGCACACGCTCGGCCAACCTCAGCAAGCCGGCGCCCTGGTCGCTAGCAACGCATGCAGCACAAAGCTAGCAACGCCGCTGGCTGCGCTGGTCAGCCTCTCCACTACGTGCTCTGACCGGTCCCGTCGTCGCGTCATGGCTTGCTCTGCCGCCTCGCCACCTAGCGACATGGTTGGATCCGCTGCCCCGCGCTCTGTCTAGCCTCGCCCTCGCCATGGCTAGCTAAGCCACCCCGCACCCTCGACGCAACCATCGCCCTGGTCAAAAATCTACAGCCTCGATGCCGCGCATTAGTTGTGTCGCCGCACCAGGTAAGGAGAAGAGATGAGACCGGGAAAAGAGTGGTGAACAAAACATAAGCGAGGAAAACGGTTCGCGCGTGCTGGTGGCTGGGCATTGATAACCCACAAGTATAGGGGATCGCAACAGTTTTTTAGGGTAGAGTATTCAACCTAAATTTATTGATTCGACACAATGGGAGCTAAAGAATATTCTCAAGTATTAGCAGTTGAGTTGTCAATTCAAGCACACATGAAAGACTTAATATCCGCAGTAAAGTATTTAGTAGCAAAGTAGTATGGAAGTAACGGTAACGGTGGCAAAAATAACAGTGATAGTTTTGTAGCAATCGTAACCGTGGCAACGGAAAAGTAACTAAGTAAAGATCAATATGTGAAGAGCTCGTAGGCAATGAATCAATGATGGATAATTATGTCGGACGCGATTCCTCATGCAACAGTTATAACATAGGGTGACACAAAACTAGCTCCAGTTCATCAATGTAATGTAGGCATGTATTCCGAATATAGTCATACGTGCTTATGGAAAAGAACTTACATGACATCTCTTGTCCTACCCTCCCGTGGCAGTGGGGTTCTATTGGAAACTAAGGGATATTAAGGCCTCCTTTTAATAGAGTACCGAACCAAAGCATTAATACTTAGTGAATACATGAACTCCTCAAACTACGGTCATCACCGGGAGTGGTCCCGATTATTGTCACTTCGGGGTTGCCGGATCATAACACATAGTAGGTGATTATTGACTTGCAAGATAGGATCAATAACTCACATATATTCATGAAAATATAATAGGTTCAGATCTGAAATCATGGCACTCGGGCCCTAGTGACAAGCATTAAGCATAGCATAGTCATAGCAACATCAATCTTAGAACATAATGGATACTAGGGATCAAACCCTAACAAAACTAACTCGATTACATGGTAAATCTCATCCAACCCATCATTGTCCAGCAAGCCTACGATGAGATTACTCATGCATGATGGTAAGCATCATGAAATTGGTGATGAAGGATGATTAATGATGATGATGGCGATGGATTTCCCTATCCGGAGCCCCGAACGGACTCCAGATCAGCCCTCCCGAGGAAGATTAGGGCTTGGTGGCGGCTCCGTATCGTAAAACGTGATGAATCCTTCTCTCTGATTTTTTTCTCCCCGAAAGTGAATATATGGAGTTGGGGTTGAGGTCGGTGGAGTCCCGGGGGGCACGAGGCAGGGGGCGCGCCCTGCACCCTCGTGGACAGGATGTGGGCCCCCTGATGCTGATTCTTTCGCCAGTATTTTTGCATTAATTCCAAAACGTGTCTCCGTGGATTTTCATGTCATTCGAAGAACTTTTATTTCTGCATAAAAATAACACCATGGCAGTTCTACTGAAAACATCGTCAGTCCAGGTTAGTTTCATTCAAATCATGCAAGTTAAAGTCCAAAACAAGGGCAAAAGTGTTTAAAAAATAGATACTTTGGAGACGTATCAAGCATATCCACCAGATTTTCGCGACTCCACTCAACCGCATTTCGAGGGTATATTCCACGAATCTTGGCTGTCCATATCCCTGGTTATCCCTCCTGCTCAATGAACCAAACACATGGCAACCACCTAAAAAAGGGCTATCCCTGTCCACTCGAGGGATAGCCATCGAACCAAACACATCCGTAAATGCGGGAGGCGGCCATCCAACACTATTTTGTATATGTCCGTCAGTAAATGGCAATTCAAAACTCAAATTTAATCTGATCCACACAGCGCGCCGGATCACACCAGTGCCTGATTTCATACCCGATCACAACCAAAAGAGACCAGTATACTTAGTTTCTAAAAATGTCCAAATCCAAAAGAACACCAGTCCTGCAGTTCGACGACCCATGCAATTTTCTCCGTACCGGACCGGCGTCTGCTCCCCGATCAAGATGTCATCGCCGTCGCATAGACAACCTCCATGTCCGCTTCCCTGCGTTCTCATTGTCTGTCGCTATCAACTAATCTTTTTACCGCTGCAACATCTGATAACGGGCGGATTGCACGATCATTCTCGCGTTGGCATTCAAAGAGTCCAGATTAAAGGTCAACATCTTGGCGTCCTCCGCATTGGCGGCGATCTTCAACTTCTTTCCCTCGAGTGCGGCCTTCCTCTCTTCGATCATGATCCTCCTCTCGTTGAGCATGAGCTTCTTGTTTTTTTTAAAAAAAAGAGGCTCACCCCCGGCATCTACATCTGGAAAATGCATGCGGCCATATTATTAAATAAGTACGACTAAAAACATAGTATTAGCCCCATTACAGCTCGTAAACGGAGCAAAATTAAAAAAGGGGAACTCATTGCCACAACCGGCGGGATAAATAGGACTAGAACACTAGACGCCTATCCTATTATGAGATCGTCATCCAAACCGGTTGAATATAGCTCGTGCTACCATCTCCCGCTGGTTGCACCCAGTGACCAAAGGCTCACTGGAGTCTGTAGGAGTGAGTAAGGATCACGTATGGATCCATGTCGTAGCTCTGAAGATGACCTGCAAGAAAGTTGAAGTATGATGTCTGTTAAAAATCATATCATTCATGCAGTTCCATATAGCCCAAATAAGTGCACATATTCCAATCCGAATACGAGACACAGTAATATGATCTACTCCAGCTAGCCACGTTCCAAATAACGCTTCAATACTAACTGGAGGGATAATATTAAAGGCTATATGAACCGTTCGCCAAAGTAATTTCTCGAGAGGGCAATCTATGAATAGGTGTTGTATTGTTTCATCATGATCACAAAAACAACATCGTGCACTACCTACCCAGCGTTTCTTTATTAAATTATCCTTGGTGAGGATCACTTGCTTGTGGACAAACCACATGAAAATCTTGATACGCAAGGGAACTTTAATTTTCCAGATATGTATCGATCTTGGGATTGAGTCAGAATTAGTTAGATCCATATACATAGATTTGACCATAAACACACCGCTTTTAGTTAATTTCCAGTGGAAGGAATTAGATTGGTCAGATAGTTGAATCTCCATCAACCTCCGCACCAAGTGTAGCCAGGAGTTTCAGCACTCCCCAACTAAGGATCTCCTAAACTGTATATTTAAGGGCACCTCCTGTAGTACAGTAGCTATGTAATCCTCCTTACATTCTACAATATTATATAAGGTGGGGTATTGTATGGCTAGAGGTGTCTCCCCCAACCATGTATCCTCCCAAAATCTTGTTGTTATCCCATTGCCAACTACGAATTTGGCCTACAAAAGAATATATCTTTCGTTCTCATAAGTCCCTTCTAGAATGGTGAATCGTTAGGTCTTGCGGTAACTTGGGCCAGAGTTTTTGATTGTAAATATTTGTTTCATAATATATGTGCCCACATATCATCAGTCTGTACGGATAATCTATATACCCATTTATTCATTAGGCATTTATTTTTAATCTCTAGGTTCTCAGTTTCGAGACCCCCTTGGTCCTTGGGTCGGCAAATGATATCCCATCTCGCCAGGCGATATTTTGTCTTAATATCATCTGACTGCCAAAAAATCGAGATCAATAAAAATCAAGTCTCTTCCGTACCCCTTTAGGTACTTCAAAGAAAGATAAACAGGAACATCGGCATACTTGTTAGTACTGAATTAACGAGTACCAACCGACCTCCATAAGACATTAGCTTGCCCTTCTAGCAGCTTAGTTTCTTTTCAAATCATCCTTCAATGCATCTCCACTCTTTATTAGTAAGTTTACGATGATGAATCGGGATGCCCGGATAACTGAAAGGCAGATATTCCAATTCACATCTGA